TTCTGAGAACCAAAATTTTCATAATAATGAGGTCCGACAAGTGACATCAACATTGACACACAACACATCAGAGGTACCACAATCTAAAATAACGTATGGTTGCCTACCCTACATTCCAGTCCTAACCCCTAAGATAATGAACATTTTCAAAAATGTTAGTGGCTTAAAAATTGCAACTAAAACTGTGAAAACGGTATCGAAGTTGTACACAAAGACAAAGGATCCTTTCACAATACAGGAATCATCGAATGTTGTTTATTCTATACCGTGTGCTAATTGCAAAAACGTGTACATTGGTGAAACATCTCGTAATTTTCACAGTAGGGTGATCTCACATCGCAGCGACATAAAAACCAAAAAAATTAACGCATGCGCGTTGACAGAACATGCATTAAGTTTAAAACATGAATTTAATTTCGAGGATTCCTGTATTCTGGCAAGGGAAAATGTGAAAACCATTCTAAACGTGTTTTCTTGGAAATGTGTTTAATAAAGTCCAGTGCGTCTTGTATAAATAAGAAGTCCGATATAGACAAATTGAGTAACATTTATTGTTATTTACTGACTAAACATCAAAAATGACACAAAGACTTACTTGTACATATACACACCATAATACACCTGCATGCTAAACAGGTTGCATACCATCAACACAGGTTTAATACATTACCTTCTATTAATAACATATGAAGAACTCATAATGAATTTTTAATCATACTATTTTTATTTTTGTTTTTTTTTATTCTCTATGGGTAAGTTAAAACACGCCAAGTAGATGTAGAAAACGAATTTTTAGAACTTTTATTATTTTTAACTAAATTTTAAAATGTATTGTATCCATTATTGTATAAGTTATAGTTTATATGTTTGTTATTAATGTTGAGTGTCATAGCTTCTTACAAATAATCTCAACGACTAGTAAGTACACTGACATTTTGTGATATATTGTAAATATTTACACATTTTTCTAATTACAGTGTCTTGATAAAGGAATTAAACAATTCCGAATGCTAGACCAAAAGTCAAAAGAGTGTTTCTGTAACATCCCGGCCAAACTTCTGACTGCAGCCCCAATAAACTTTGTTGTTTGTTTAAATTGACAGTCACGAATATCCAGTATTCATTATATATATTATATATATATATATATATATATATATATATTTATATATATATATTATATATATTATATACTAGATGTAATAAATATAATATAATGTATTATATTTTATATGTATTAAAAATGTATTGATTACAGCGCGCAATTCTGCGTTTAATATTGTGTCGCCCCCTATAAAACGATAAAATCGGTGGTAAATAAATTCAAAATAGTCATTTTTTATCTAAAATTTTCCGTAGAATTCGAATTCGTTGTTAGAAAACCTCTAAGCTGAAAAACGAAGGAGAAGCGCTAATAAAACTTTTATTCGAAAGTACTTGTATTAAGGCGTATTTTGTGAAAATTTGAAAAAAATTAAAGAGGGTGTTTTTGAGATATGAATTTCTCAGAAAAAAAAAGCGCTTTGTTTCGCATTTTGTGGCTTTATATGAAGTCATAGGACAATTCTGACACCGGGATCGTGTTCAGCGGGAAATTTTACATTGGAAAACATATAGTGGATATTTGTTTAAGCATATTTAGTTCGCTGGACTTAAAAAACTGCGAAACACGAAAAAAAAATTGATAAAAAGCGTGAAACTTCAATAGCGCACAACGACCGCCATTTTGAATATGTCTGAAAATTTGACAATCATGTTTTTTTGTCTAGTACAACATGTGTGTAAAATTTCAGCCAAATCGGAGAGGGTGACCCCACCGACTTGTGTCGATTATTGCTGGAATTACCCTAAAGCATGCTTTGTATTTTATTTTACAGTAACATAATCGGCGTAAGGTTGTTTTGTATTGAAATATAAATAATTTAGGACTACAACCTTTTTTGTTTTGTGGTACTATATTAACACAAAACAGTAAAACCGCTCTTTTGTATAATTTTATTAGGAAAAGAACCTTATAATCAGAACTTAACATTATAAAAATAATATAAAACTTAAATTAAAAAACAGTTAATCATATTCCTAACATGAAGAATTGTTTTCGTTAACGGCAACTCTATTTTTTGTTTTTTTAAAGATTTATAGAAAGAATGGTAAATAGAAGGTACCCATTCTAGCAATTCCATTAGGTGGTTATATTTTGAACTATCAATTGGAATTGATTTTTCATTATTTATTCGGTCCAATATCTTTGGTAGGAGAACATCGAGAGAACTTCTCATTTTCCGTTTAAACTTTTCCTGGGAAAATGTTCATTTATAAAACATAATGCCAGGGTGGTCTCTTTCGACTTTCAAGTGCACAATTTTAGAGGATAGAAAGGGTTCATTGTCAGTTAAAAGTGCTCCGTTTTCTATTAATAAATGGACTTGTCGATTCTTTGCCCATTTTTTTAAAGTTGAAAAAGTCACTTGTTTTCAACCCATAAACAATAAGCGGTTTTAAAAAACTGCAGGTCCTTATAAACTCGGCCCATTCATGAGGTACATAAATACTCATAGTAGGCAGTCTTTTCTTCTTCCTTTCAATCAGTGCATGTATTGTGTCTGGTTCGTTGTGTGTATGAACATTGAGTAAATATTTATGATGAATTCTAACTACTGAGATGTTATGGACAGCCCACATATACATACAAAATAAAAAAAAAATCGGTTTTGGCCAGAGTAGTTTTCCGACCAAAATGTCACCTCTTCTGCTGTAGAAAGTAAACTTTTTAACCACATTATTATAGCGGAAGCTATCTCGTTGCCACCCCTTTTTGCAATATACTCGCTCCATATGAAAAATGAACCTTCGGTAGTACTATCATTATAGACGGTACAATTAAATGTTCATAACTGTTTTAAATAAAACGATTTTCCATTAGTTAACATAGGTGTGTGGGGAGGCATTTTTGTAAATCCATCATTGCTACGATTTTTAATTCTTTTAAATTCTACTTGCATCTTATCCTGCCTTTTAAACTTGTATCTGTTTTCTACGTCATTCAAATGATCTGCCTTTTTCTTTAAAATATCTTTAACTCCATTAGGATCTGCCTCTTTTCGCTTATTTTCAAAACTGTCAAAGGTATGACATGTATCAATGTTTAGGGGCTTGAAATGAAGGTTGAATTTGGAACAATTGTTTTGCCTCTTCTGGAATTTGCTGGTTAGGTACATGGTGACTGATTACCAACCCAGCCGCATCATTAATTTTCTTCTTTATTAAATTTTGTGACTAATTTCTCAGATATGGCAAGTGTAGTTAAAAAACTTGACTTGCACACCCTTGTTTTAGATCCGTTTGAGAGGAGAGTGTAAGTGTAAGAATGCTGTTTTCGGTCCTTTTGATTTACATTTGTTGAACATCTTCTGCTAATAGTAGCTATATCAACTGCTTGTATAATAAATTGTCTTCTATGGTCCCAGTCTGTCTTTTCTAAAAATTATTAATTGCGGTAATATACGAGGGTGGATTGATATAAAACTAGCCTTTGATAGAAAAAAACAAGTTTTTTGGAATTAAATCGATTTATTTCTCAACATACTCCCCTTCTAGCTCGATACACTTAGTAAGATGATGTTCCAATTTTTCATCCCATCCGAATAGTACTTTTGCTCGAGCTCTTCAAAATAGGTTGAAGTTTCAGCGACGACTTCATCATTTGTTGCGAAACGGCGTCCTCCGAGCGATTTTTTTAGGTTTGGCCAGGAAACAGGAAAAAATCGCTGGCGGCAAGATCTGAGGAATACGATGGGTGTTAAACCAATTCATAGCAAAATTCGTGTAATTTTGTCATTGCGACGGCCGATCGATGAACCGGTGCACAGCCTTGGATAAAAAGCACTTTTTTGCGTTCCAAACCGGGGCGTTTACGCAATTCGGCATCGAATCGATCCAATAATGCTGCGTAGTACTTACCATTGATTGTTTTTCCTTTTTCCAAGTACTCGATGTGGATGATGCCCTTCGCATCCCAAAAAACAGTCGCCATCACTTTGTCGGCCAAATGTGCACTCTTTGCCTTCTTCGACGGCCCGTCGCCGCGTTTGCGCCACTGTTTCGACTGTTCTTTGGTTTCCGGTGTGTAATAATGCACCCAGGTTTCATCAAATGTGATAAATCGGCGAAGAAAATCCTTCGGATTGCGCCGTATCATCGCCAGAAGCGTCTCCGAAGTAGTCACACGTTTTTGCATTTGATCGATTGTCTTTTTCATGTCCAAACGATGGTGAATGATGTTGTGTACGAGTTCGTAGGAAATGTTTATTAACGATAATTAATTCGACGATCTGCCATAATCATGTCATGGAATTTGTTGGTCATTTCCGGCGTGGTGACTTTATTTGGCCTCCCGGGACGCTCATCATCAAAAAAACTCGTACGACCACGAAAAAATTCAGCTTTCCAAAATGTTACTGTTTCTAACGAAGGTGCAACCTCACCATAAACTTCGTCCAGGTCGGCTTTGATTTGCACATTCGTTTTACCCTTTTTGTGGAGGAACTTATCACCTAACGATACTCGACTTTTTCCATTTCTCCGAAAACACAAAATTTGCTTGCTGTTGACGGCTGTAAAAACCACACTAATTGTTTTTAAAACTTAAAATTTTGACAGACGTCATGTCATGTATGCCAAATGTCAACACCGAAATCAATTCGGTAACAAGTAGCGGCATCTATCAAAAGCTAGATTTATATCAATCTATGCTCGTATATTTAAAACATTATTCTGTATATTATTAGTACATTTAAACCTACATATTCTATTGCACGAGGGACCTACTTCTTTAGTTTTTTTTTATTTATTTTTAAAACCTAGATCTTCATCTCCTAATCGTCTCTTCTCCTTTGTTACTTTACGTTTCCAAGCTGAAGGCTTCTGCTTTTTCTTTCTAGTTTTCTTTACAACTGTTTCTGTTTTATCTTCCTCCTTCACTTTAATACTGTTATCCATGTTCAGGTTTTTGGTAAGCACCTTTTGTAATGTTCTTGAACACAGGTAATTGTTGTATTTTCCTCACAATCATCATTGATGCTACCATCTGGTTCATATGTTATGTCATCCACAGAGTTGTCAGAATATCTACTACAAGAAGGTTTAGCAAATATGTTTTCACACTCAGTTTCTTCATCCATGGAGAAATTTCCATTGGCACCATTATTAAACATAACAGGCTTTAACTGACAGTAAGTTTTATGGTTCTCATAAGCAGAAACATGGTTTTGTTCATTAGATTAATCAGATTCAGGCATATTTAAAGACGCTCTTAAGAGATCTAAAAGAGGATCTGCAATCAAAAATTGATCTAATAGATCAAAAAGCTAATGATATCAGTGAAAGACTTTTACAGATCGAAAACAAGTTATCTATTGAGGATCATTCTTCATCTCCTAAATTTACTGATACCATAGCAAATGAAGCAGTTGATCGCATTAACCGGGTTAAGAATATTTTTGTTATGGGTGTACCAGAAATTACAGGAGACATTGAAACAAAGAAAAGTCACGAATTGACAACATGATAACAACTCTGGAGTTGTTATCAACAGGTCCTCGAAGACACTTCGTCTCAGGACCATTTTACCTATGTAGGGTCATACGTCGCCATGTTACCAATTCCAACGGTAACTTAAACATCATAATTTGTAACCACATATTATTATAATGTAAAACAACTGTAAATTTATATCATTTAAAGGGTTTTGTATATTTTGGTGGCTCATAGCATGTATACCTCGTTTACACTGATGATGGATTTAACAATCCGAAAACGTTTTGTAATATATTTGTGATAGCCCGTTTGGGCATTTTATTATATACCTTTTATAAAGGATTTAAAATACATTTTTCTAACCAAAATAACCCTTAAAAAAGTTGAATACAGAGTGCGAATCCAGGGGGAACTCTCTGAACCTTTTAAAACAAATAACGAGCTACGTCAGGGAGACCCACTCTCCTGTATACTATTCAATTTAGCTCTGGAAAAAGTAATACGTACGTCACAAATCACAACTACCGGTTCAATATATAACAAATATGTGCAAATCCTAGCATATGCTGATGATATCAATATTGTTGGGTAAACGGAAAACGCAGCACGAGAGGCGTACGTAGCACTAAAGGAAGCGGCTACAAAAATGGGTTTAACAATGAACATCAATAAAACGAAATACATGAAAATAGATATGCAACCACAAGTACTACGGCCACTTGTTATAGAAAACAACGTCACCGAAGCAGTTAACGAATTTGTATACCTAGGAACGCTCGTCAATACTGAAAATGACACTACCGCGGCTTGTGAGGACTGCGGCTAATCGTACTTCGGATATATCAATCGAAAAATATAGATAACACGAAAAGAACATCGACAGAAAAGACGTTCACACGACTAACACAAATGTCATAAGCGCGTGACATAAAATAAAGTTCTAAATATCCAAAAAATTTAAATACAAGAGGTGATGCCAAACAATTCAAACTGTGTGGAAACCAACTCTACAAATAACGTAGAAATTAAACTGGCGAATAAGATTCAGCCCAATTGCATGCGCACAGGGCCAATCATAAGAAATATATATATATATATAATATATATATATATAATATATATATTATATATATATATATATATATATATTATAATATATATATATATATATATATATATATATATATATATATATATACTTACTACTATATACATAATATTATGTAAAAATTTAAGATATTCGACAATAGAATATTTTTTATTTGCCGAAAGGTTTTAATTTCATAAATTATACAAAGCGAAGTTATTACTTACCATTGATATAAATAAACTACTCCTACAAATGTCACATTCATAATCACCCTCATCGCCCTGTTGAAATTTCTTCTTTTTTCCTCGATTAACCTCAGGAATAGGTAGTTTTTCCCTGATTACTTCCCCAAACGTGTATAATTTCTCCCTTTTTTCAATTTCTCTAGAACTCAATTCCTGTGCAAGCGGCAAAGCTTGTCGTACTATTTCTATATTGCACTTTGGATCATTTACAACATTTATTAGAAGCCTATCAAAGGAAAACATAGCCGGTTCATTGCTCTTTCTTAAAGCATCAAAGAGACTTCGAGCTGTTTTTAGCCAATAGATTGGAGCGAAGTAAACACTTTCGGAAACTACGTATCCAGTGCTAATACTTGATGTGAAAGATTTGGGAAATACAATAACATATTGACCCGGTTCTTGAACCGTATGACATAAGGATACCTAAAAATGGTATAACAATTAATCCCTCAAAAAGGCGTTAGTTAAAAAATATATATAAACATTTTCTTACACTTTTGCTAGGTGGTTAAATTTACTAAAATAACATACCTGATTCTCGACAAGAAGATTCGGAGGAACCATCACTGTATCTGATGGTAGCCACAATTCTTTATCTTTGCAATAACTGGGAACTAAATTATTTAGAGCCGAATGGAAATGCTCGCCCATCGAATTAGGAATTCCATACCATATTTTACTTCCACCTGTGTGAAGGTATTCTATCCAAGGTAATCCGTGTGGATCTCGGTACCAACAACATGCGCTAAATACCATACCAACGTGAAGTGTAGGTACTGTGACACCTGAACAATAAACAAAACGGTGATTAAAGACCTTATATAGAGATTGCTTTTAATTGTATATTATGTTATAACAATGTGTTACCTTTTTTAGTGTAGATAGAAAGGACACCCATTGATATAATGCGAATGATAGCTATATTCAAACTCCACTATTTGGAAAAGTGATTTCATAGTTTAAACGCCGAATATCCTCAAATTTAAATGTACACAGCGGCTCTCGAAAACTACCCGTTTTCTCAATTGCAATTTGAGTTTGCTCATAAGAAATTACAGAATATATAAGTAGTATATTTATTTGCGCTTCTCTATAGAAGAGTTGATCAGTTGTCGTACAGTGTAGCCAATTCCTGTTCACAAGTAGTAATTATGGCCATACAAAGCCTGTATTCTTCCACGCAGCGATTATTACCGTCATAAAAATACCAAAAAAACCTGATTTTTTCAATAGTAAAAATTAATCACAAAATTGTAATAAAATAAATTTTATTTATATGTTCCATTTTGTTACATATTTAAATTTATAAAATAAAAATCGATATTTTAACATTATTTTTCAATCTTTTGGCAACCTTGGGCTTTACCGACGGAACTCCGACCCACAAATAGCCGTAAAACTCGTTTGACGGGGAAATGCCGATCAAGAAATCAACTCAACTATCGTTCATTTACATTGGCGTTTCTGAGGGTAGTGCATGTGTTCCATTTTGTGAATATATTTGTGATAAGTTTCTGTTATTGATAATACGAGTGTTATAGTTTGTCGTTTTATAGTAAATTTTTAGTTATATTCTGTGATTATTTGGTTGAAGTTTTGGTTTATAGTGAAGTTTTATATATATATAATATATATATATATATATATATATATGTAGTTTTATTTATTTATATTTTATGAATATATAGTTTTATATAGTTATATTATGTGATTATTTGATTTGGAGTTTTATTGGAGTTTTGGTTTATACAATGGACGAAAAAACCGAGTTGTTAAAAGAGAAGACAACAAAATTCTGATGTTGATTCCAAAAATGAAAAGCCGCCAAAGAGACGGAAAATGTTAACGTCCAAAGAGAAAGTAATGATACAAAACGTTTATGAAGGAATTATCGACAGAAAAACGGCATTAAATGTTAGCCAAGCGGTCGACATTTGTAGCAGTTTAACAAAAGTAGCCGTTAGCTGTATTTATCATGTACTTACAAATACATCGGAAAAACAAAAGAAAGAAAAAGGTAAAACTAGAGGTAGGAAAAGCATTGTTTTGTATGACGAGATAAGGAATATTATACGTCGAAAAATTCATTCATTTTCTTTTCGGAGTGAAATTCCAACACTGAAAAAAATTTCTCAAGAGCCCGAAAACGATGACTCCTTACCCAAGATATCTCGTAGAGTCTTAATCAGGACCATGCGCGAAATGAACTTTCGATATGTAAAATGCAACAGAAAAAGTATGCTATTAGAACAAAATGAAATTGTTGTGTGGAGAAGAAAATATTTAGAAGAAAAATTCGCAGCACTGGGCGAAAAATATATTATTTCGATGAAACCTGGATTAACGAAGGTCATACAGTTAGAAAAGTTTGGCAATATTTAAATGTCAAAAGTAAACGCGAAGCATTTATAGAAGGCTGGTCTACAGGATTAAAAGCTCCATCAGGAAAGGGACGGCGTTTAATCATCACCCATATAGGAAGTGAAACAGGGTTCCTTGATGATGGTTTGCTTCAATTTGAGTCGAAACAAAAAATAGGTGATTATCATGAAGAGATGACTTCCGAAGTATTTGAGCGCAGGTTTAAGAGAATATTAAAAAATTGCAACCTGGGTCTGTGGTTGTTATGGACAATGCGCCATATCATAGCCGCAGACTAGAACAATTACCGACGAAGCATGGCGGAAAGGGAGAATTCAAAAATGGCTTACAGAAAAGGGGATTGCATACGAAGAATCAACGCTCAAAATTCAGCTACTTGACATTGCATGGTTAAGGAAAAGTGAATATCTTAAATATGCTGTGGATGAAACTGCAAACGATTATGGTGTCAAAGTTCTGCGTCTACCACCTAATCATTGCGAACTTAATCCCATTGAACTTTTCTGGGCGCAAGTGAAAGAAGAAGTAGCACGCAATAACAAAACGTTCAAATTAAACGAAGTTAAGGAACTTTTAATTCAAGCAATCCTCCATGTCACTCCAGAGAAATGGGCTAAATGAATAGGCCACATAATTAAAGAAGAACGTCGTATGTGGGAACTTGACACTCATATCGAAGTTTTACTAGAGCCAATTATAATTACACCATGTGACGATAAGGACAGTGATATCAGCATTGCATCTTCAGATTTAGAAAGCGAATAATATTTTCTAATAGTTTAGTAAGAACATCAGTATAAAAAAACCAAAAACAAAAAAAAACGAGAAGAATATAGTAAGCGTGTACAGTGTTTGTGTTTAAATAGAATAGTACAATGTTTTGTTACATCCAAAATTATTTTTATTTTGTTTTTATCGAATTTTATTTTGTTTTTTACTGCTTAAAAAAAGTAACGCGCCACAAGATATACCTCTGGGTGTGGAAACTGTCTTAACATTTGTTTTAAAAAAAATTCATTGTGTAACTCTTTAAGGACGGGTCGCGTCAAAAGACGTTTTAGCGTAACTTCCGCGAAGCCGGGTGGCATCAGTAAGCTTTCTGCAAAATTACTTGTTTTTTATAGCTTTTTGTTTGTGGCATTCTGTATTTTTAGGGGAATGTAGGGAATGAGCCACAAAATATTTATTCATATGTTTATTTACTGACGTTTCGATCTCTATATCCAGAGACCGTTTTCAATTATACAAATGATAGTAATATTTATTTTGTATGGCTTTTTGCTTGTCGTTCTGTATTGTTAGAAATAATGTTGGGAATAAGCCACAATATATTTATTCAAATGTTTAATTTACGGACGTTTCGATCTCCATAAAGAGACCGTTTCCAAACATAAAAATGACAGATATATTTATTTTTCTATAGCTATAGCACTGACGTTTCCTTACACAGACCGTTTTTAAAGATAGAAAAAAAAAATAAAATAAATAATATAAGATTATAAAAATATATAATTATAAACAAATAAAATAAATATAATTATCATTTATATTTTTGAAAGCATCTATATAGAAATCGAAACGTCATGTCAGTAAAAACTTGTAAATAAGTATATTGTGGCCTATTTCGAACAATAATATTTGAAAAATATAATATAATTAACGTTAAAAAAAAGTGAGTGTACGCCACTGGACTTTCATACGTCTTTCCCCACTTCTCTGCCTTTAAACGATGAATCACTCTTCCAAATAATGGAATTATAGCATAGATGGTTGGTGGATAGCGACTAGTTTTGAAATTGGTATTTGGTTCAACAAAACAGATTACAACATATTATAGGAAGAAAAACATAGAGAAAGGGCGCCACTTAACTTTTTGTAAATAAAAGGCAAAAGTTAGAAACCTAGATTTTTCACAACAAATTACGTTCTGACAACCAAAAATGTAAAAGATCTGGTAGTTAAAATTGCCAACAGAAGCAGCTATTAAATACCAAATATCTTCGGTGGGAATAGTCCGCATACTTACATAAGGCTCAGCCTGATCTTTTTTTCTGGTCGTAATGTAACTATCAAGTTGTTTAAATTTAATTCTCAATCAAGGGGCTTGTTGTTAGTAGAAGAAATCAATACATCAGTTCAAAACAAAACAATTTATTTCAACAAATGTTGAAATTCAAATCAACATAAAAATAATAGTCCAGAATATGACTGTTTTCTGCTCAGAATTCCTTTTGTATGCATGATTTGCATGAAATTTTGACAGTAAATAGAAAAAAGCTAAATCAAAATCGACCCTATGCCAAAGGCATCTATTCTTTTTTCTGTTTCAGAGTCCATTGTCCAACTTTCACAGCCATACAGCTAAACATAGAAAACGTAACCTCTGATCATTCGAATTCTGAGCTCTAGTCTAAGGTCTGATCTTGTAAAAAATGTTTTCATGTTTATGAGTATTTTCCTCGCTTGTTCGATTCTTGACAGGATTTTTTTTTTTTTTTTTTTTTTTTTTTTTTTTTTTTTTTTTTTTTTTTTTTGATTACACTGGCTGTTGATATTTGCTCCCAAATATGTTATGGAAGTACCTGTTTTATTATTTGTCCCTTGGCATACAAATGTACGTTTGTTGGTATCTTTGAAAATACTAGAATTTTAGTTTTGGAAACATTTAGATGTAAATCGAATATTTCGCTATGACGAACTACCGCATTTATTATATTTTGTAGTTTTTGTGCGTTGCTTGCTATTAGGACTGTATCATCAGCGTGCCTGATGTTGTCTATGCTAGTTCCGTTATTCTTGATTCCGCCTTAAACCTCTTCTAATGCTTTTATTGATGAAGATAATTAATTTCGTACGCTCGTGATGAAGTATAAATGAGCCATGAAGTGAACTATTTAATGGGTAAAAATCAAATATATACAAATTCTTACAAAAAATCTTATATTATTAAAACTTACCCATGAGAGGACCTAATGATCTAAGAACAGATCCTCCATTATTAGTTAAAACTTTCAAGTTCCACGGATGTCTTGCAAATGGGCTATTTTTTGATACTGCAAATCCATATCCCCAATTTCCGCAATCTATGGATCCAGAATGGACACATATGTGATTTTGTCGCATCGTCACATATTTCCAGTACTCTTGTTCTACCTAAATATAAAAAAGAGATTTGTAAAAGATTCGTATTTGCCCAGCGAAATAAGCTCTTTTTTTCGTGACACTGATCAGGCCAGGCAAACCTATATGTTTCCTGCAGTCGATTTTATATTAGCTATTAACAAATTAATGTCAAAAAACGGAAAATTTTCGCTTTTTTTGTTCATCAGCAAAAAGTAAAGCATATGCAACAAATTTGAGAGCAATAAAGTCATACAGAACCTTTCAAAGTGACGTTTTTAAAATTTTTCTAACCTTATTTGTTGCTTAGAAAGCTGCAAAATAGAATTTTTGTCATCTTACGAAACTTAATGAAAGATGTTGCGGATTTAATTTCTCTTGGAAGGTGATTATAAA